AAAGCGTAATAACAAAGCTGCGACGATGGAAATATCTTGCAATGGTTTTCCGCAAAACTGGACTGGTCCCTATTTGTCGCCATATTTTTAGGGACTTTGAATTTTGGAATTCAAGAGCACTTAGAAACACAAAACGAAAAGGATGAACAAATAATAGAAATAAACCATGAACAAGCAAATCATCCAATTACAAGAACATAGAACTCCTAGTCCACCACTACCTCATCAACAACTTGTTTCTCCGAAAGACATCTGTCCCAATTCCTAGATTCTACGAGAAAGATACAACTAAAAAACCACATGCCAGATCAGGAAAGGCTTCAATAATTACTTTAACACCCTACAAAGAAGAATTAGAGCAAAGTTTGCAGAAGAAAAAGCAAAAAAACTAGTACCCCAGCTAAACTTGGATGGTGTATTTGCTCCAGAAAAAAACATGTTCAACAAAAGGTGTTAGATCAAAAAAAACAGCAATGCCCGAAGAAGAAATAGCAGATGAAGACGTTAGATCAACCTTCTACATCAAAAGGCAAAACATCAAGAAGGAAGCGGAAAGTTTCTTCGAGTTCAAGCTCAGATAGCAGTGTAAAACTTTCCATTAGCTGATTCATCGTCCAACGAAAGTGAAGAAAACGACGCGGAATGTTTATTTTGCACCGGCAAATTTTCCGACGATAGATATGGCGAACGATGGGCAAAGTGTTACCAATGTGGCAGGTGGGCACATGAAGACTGTGGAGAAATAAAGTCCAGCACATTTATTTGCCTTTTCTGCGAGGAAAGGGACTTTTTGAATAGTATCTCAAATTAAGGTACCTGTCTCAAGTTTAGATACCTGACTATCCCAAATTAGGGCACCTTTTATTTTTAATATTAAATGTCGCAAAAAAATTAAATGTATTTTTTTGCAAAAATATATGTTTTATTCGCTTTTTTTTGTTTTGTTGTGTCTAGAAACATTAAGTTTAAGTTTTCGAAATGAATGTTTTAAAAATTTTAAATATTCTGTTTTATATTTGTTTTTCAAAAAAAGTGTCTCAAATTTGGTGCCTTTCCTCTAACTGTTTTGGCCTTCATGTCTTAGCCCGACATCCCGCATATCCAGGGAGCCTGATTGTAACAGAAAACATAGCGTTGATAGTTGCGCCACACGGTAGTTGATATTAGCGGCGCGCAACTACCAACGCCATGTATATATGATATAATCAGGCTCGCATTCTATATTGCTCTTAGTGCGTTTGCGTGTGTAGGGCCATATCCTCTGTATTGCTCTTAGTCAGTTTGCGTGTTAGGGCCTTTATCTTTTCGGCGGGGCAGAAAATGATAATAATACCTATGCTATTCGAAAGAACGGAAAAAACCCATAAAAAAACATTGTTTTAAAGTTGGACAAAAATTTCCAATTCCTTTTATTCCTTCCTCTATTTCGTGATCCCATCAGTATGGTATTGTTTACTTAGGTTTTATGTAGTATCCCATTGCTTCAAATGCTGCTTCGTGTAAACAGGTTTGTATATGTTCATATAACTGGTCGTTATTTCTTAGGGGCGGGAATTTGTAGCTTCTTCATCCAATATATTTTTGAATAAGTCTTGGATACTTTCTTCATCTAGGCTTCTGATGTCATATTTTTGTTGCTGTGTCTTTTCTGTCTTGTTTATGTCTATATATGTTTCTCTATGTTGTCTTTGGATTGGGAAGTGTATTTTTGAACGTAATAAATAGTGATCGCTACCGCATGTTGCGCTTCTCTGAACTCTTACATCTTGTACTCTTCAGTCGGGTTGTTTGTTTTGTTATAATACAATAGGTTATTGATTTTATGTTTCGTGTTTCCTGTATCCATGTATAGCTGTGTATTAGTTTATGTGGAAAGTATCCATTTAAGATTCGGAATTGATTCTGGTTGCATAAATCTATTAATCTTTCACCATTGTTGTTCGTGGTGTCTTCTCCGTATTTTCCTACTATTTCATCCGCATATTTTCTTCCTACTCTACTGTTAATATCCCCCATTCATATTATGCCCCGCGATTGACTTATTTTCGATATTTCTTCGTGAAGCTGTTCAAAAAACGCGTCTTTAGCGTTGGCTAATGCGTCGTAATTTATTGCGTATACACCCATAATTGTTAGTTTATATTCGTGAAGATACATATTTACTTTAATTAATCTTTCACTTATGGCTTCCCAGGTTGTTATAAACTTTCGTAGTCTTCTGTGAATCATTAAAGAAATTCCTCTTGAGCTCTACATTCTTTTGGTACTACACTATAGAAATGGTCATATTTTCCTAGATTTTCAGAGCCGGTTCCCTTCTTTTTTGTTTCGGTAATGACTGCTGCTATGTCTAATTTTTAGTTCTGTTAATTCATGTAAGACTTCATTGAGTTTTTTTTATTTACCTTGAACGTTCCATGTAAAGTCGGTTCGCTATATTTACGCGGGGTTTCGGATTAAAAATTTTATTGTAAGTACCCCAGTTTTAATTACCTGCTCTTTGGGAAATATCAACTGGTCAAATGAAATGAAAAATAATCCATAACTTTTTTTAATTAAATAATAATGGAAAATCTTTTATATAATTGACAGTATAATAAGGAGAATTACTTCATTAATGGAGTCTAATGTGGGCTAATATAAACCTAATAATAATTTTATATTACACTTCACACAGAAAATATGGTCTATGTATATTTGTTCCATGGAGAGAATTTCTAATGAAAATATAAAAAATTTAACTTGCCAACAAAAATGAAATCAGTCATTATCATCAAAAATATCATGATCGTCATAATCATCACTGTCATCACCATTAATTGTTATTATGATTGGACTTATTTCGTGTTATTTTATTTTCACGAGTCCACCAATCTTCTATTAGTTTCTCGGACTTGAATATACAATTGCACCACACTTCTGGAGATACAATTGAAAGTGCCTTTCGCCAAGTTTCCCGAACTGCGTTGTCGCTATAACCGTTAGGCCCAATATGGTTGTCATAATATTGTTTTGCTATTCCCCATATATATTCGATGGGATTAAACTGGCAATGATACGGTGGTAGACGTAAAACTTGATGACCGTAACTTTCAATAATCTGATCCACAATAAAGGTTTTTGGTTTTGCGTGGATATTTGCCAAGCGTAATAATTCTGATTTTAAAATATGTTGTGTAAATGGTATATGTTCCTTTGTCAACCATTTTTTAATTTTATTAACAGTCCAAGAATTCGTTGGACTTTTGTTTTAATAATTTAATGTTTCAGAATGTAAGGTGCATTGTCTAAAATAATTACGCTGGGCTCACTTAAACCTGGAGAAGTTTTTCACGTAACCATTTTACAAACATTTCTGTGTTTATATTATCGTGATAGTCACTTGATTTTGATTTAGATGAAAATATTAAATCAGCACCTTCTATAAAACCCGATTTCACTCCATGCATGTAAAATTATGTGTCGCTTCCCTTCTCCATCAGTATGTTTGATAGACTTTACGTTATCATCTTGCCATATTCTCTTGGTTGCGCCCCTAGAAAATATCCATGTTTCGTCTAAATATATAAATATTTGCCATTTCTTCTTTTAATTTAGAATATTTTCTTCGAGTTAAAGTTAATTCTTTTATGCACAACAGAACTTCTTTCACAAGGGGCTTTTCTGTTATCATCCTTTTGAAATTTGAAACCCAAATTATGTATCACTTGCCATAGACTTGTTCTGCCAATTTCGTCAAATTTTCTATCTTTTAATTCCGAGAGAATTGTATTTAAGGTCACATGTTCCTTGTTGGCTCGCATTCGATAAATGGTATCACGAATTTCAAATTTTTTTTATCCTGGAATATCTTTAGTTTTCAATGATAGGCGAGTTTTTCGGTGATTCTTCTTTCGGCCGTTCATTATTGCGATTTTGTAATACTCCTCTTAGTTTGGTTTCACTAACTCCTAGAGCATCACATACGCGTTGTTGAACAGACATTACCGATTTTAAAGGACCGCCATTTTCTTTTTCATCCGTAAAATACTTATGTACACTACAAATTAGACTATCTACATCTAACACACGTCTAGGCATTTTTAAATATTTCCACCAAACATACAATGTCAACACTGGCAAAGAATCAATTCAACTGCAATATTGTAACAAAATTATTCCTACCCTAATGTTATTTTAATATATTTTAAAATATGACCATAAATGCAGTTTTTTACCTAATTTTCTGGGAAGTCGTTTACTGTAACTGATATCAATGAGTCATTAGCATAATTTTGTTAATCCGAAACCCGCGTAAATATAGCGAACCGACTATACCCAAAATATCGTTGTCTTTTTGGAAACTTATGTCGTCTTTGTTGTGCCGTCCTTTTTTGAGGTGTGTGATTAGGTTTTTTAACATTGTTATGTTTTTTACAAGTACTGGGTAGTTAGCCCAATGCCTTAACCCCCAACCTGGTGGACGAGGAGTTTGGGTTCAGAGTCTCCCTCTAGTAGACGGATTACGGGATCTACCGCTAACGGGTTCTGCCTACCCTTTTAATTTTATAAGAACCCTAAAATCAGAGGTCGCCACTTCCGTCATACACACCGTACCGAAGATGTTCTTCTCCTCCGTGGATACCGTTGTGGTCTTCATCATGGAAAAAATAACATGGCATATTACATACAAACGTCGTTAAATATTGTTTGAACACCCCTTTTTTGTTGTTGTGCCTCCATTTAATATAATTCATCAATAATTACCATATACAAAATTGCATGATAATGTAACACTATTTGTGTTTTGTTTGTCTGAACATACTTTATATGCGACACGCGTATTCGTAGATATCTTAAAGAGTATTAGTTGGGGCTGCGGAACCACCGCTGTGAATTTGTAAAAGAATAAAAATAAATTATATTCAAATTTTCTAAACTTACAATTGATATTTCTAATTTCAACTGTTAAATCCAAAATTGTTGTTGACTATTTTCTAGTTTATATTTTTTTATTTCAGAAACTCAACTTAACGTACAATAGCCTGACACACATTGACCCTGAACTTTTCAAAATTATTAACACAACAAAGAGTTTAAAGAAATTGGAATTGGCTTATAATCCTTGGTCATGCGGATGCTCTGCTTTTGATCTACAATTGTTTCTCCAAAATCGTTACACAATAGTAAGTATATTTTTATAACTATGATGATTTTGAATATTATTTTGTGTTTATCGTCTTTTTGCCTTTCCCCTTATGTCATACAACATACCATTCTCTTTTTTTCCATTTTATCCATCTCACTCTAACTGAGGAGCTCGCGTGCAAAACCGGATATATCCACTTCTAAAGTTTTTTAGCATTTTTTTATTAGTAAAAAAACATTGGGTATATCCGGTTTTGCACACAAAATGACACACTGTGAGTGAAAAAAAATATTTATTTTTCATTAAATAAACAGAACAAGTTAGTTAAAGTAATATTTGCAAAATAGAACGAACAAATTTAAATAATGTATTGCAGTCTCTTCGTGCAGGCAATCGCATAGCTTGTCTCCATCTTCTTGGGTTTCATTATTTTTCCGAAATATCTACGGTTTCTTCTCCGTTACTGTGTAATAAATTTTTGTACCACAAAAAGTCTTCCCTGTTTCGCCAATCTTCACCAAAATGCTCTTTTCATCAAATGATTCAAACTTTTTTTCTTCTTATCGGGTATTGAATTACTCAATGGTAACCTACTTAGCCGTATATTTTTCTGATTTTTCCCTTCTTGACAAGCGACTCACAAGTTGTGTCACCTGATGCTGTGAAACGATAAAATTGAAACTTTTTTACTTTAATAGTAGTTTCATTATTTTTATTCACACATTTTTTCAAGTGGATTTTTTTGCACTCAGAAATTCCATTTATTTTCTTATACACTTTTTCCAGTTCTTTAACATCATACATTTGCCAGTCAGAACCTAGTGTTTTTACCGAACCTACTTCCGAATACATTTCTATGTATTTTTTCTTTAGACGTTATGACTGGATGTCTTTTCAAGATTTCTCAACTCTACCGAATGATTGGTCCACAGGTAGAAAGCTATGTCATCGGACTGGAAATGTTATTATTATTTCTGTCAAATTATCTGGGGACTGGTTTTTTGCCAATATATTAGGTTGTGAAATGATATGTGAATTCTTATTCTGCCTCCACATCCATCGCAGAATAGTCTGAGAAGATGTACTCCTTCATAATTCAAACTTTGAAGATGATGAAATAAAGCAGAACCAATTTGAATGGCTCCTCTTCCAGCCAAATCTTCGGTCCGACATAGAATATCGGATTACGAGACGTCATAGGAACGCAGCAAAAAGCATACAACTAATTGATGAGAATAAAAACTGTTGCGTTCCTTTCTTTCATTTCTTTATTTTGTCTGCGTCGTTTAACTGGCACAACAGACATATATTTACATCTGGCGGATTTTTAAGACTTATAATATCTTTTGTTTCGCTTTGCAGCATTCATATGTTTTACCATATGACTACAAGGACGTGTAAAACCTTCTAATCTAGGGTCGGATCTAAATACCTAAACTTACAAAAAAAAATTAGTAAAAGTTTTAAAATTTAAAACAATACCTAACCTTTGCTTTTTACTCGCTTCCCTTGTTCTCGCGTTCTTTTTCTTTTCCTGCTTCCATCACTTCCTTCACTTACACTAATATCCTCCTCCATAATATACAATTTTTAATATAAAACTTAAATACACTACTTTTATTAAGCACGATAATCAATGTGTAGATGGCTTAGACCCAGAAACCACCAAAACATGATTTTGTGTAAAAAGTGGATATATCTGGTTTTGCACGCGAGCTCCTCAACTCTCTGCATCCATCTCTATCTATATTCCCATTACTCTGTAATACCGATCTTAGGTATCTATTTAGAACTATTCATTAGCAGCGTACATAAGTACCAGGGAATTTTACCTTGAAGTTTCCCTGCTATATGAACAAACACTAATGATTACTTTAGAGTGTGAATTTACTATCAATTGAAGAGGTGGATTCCAAATGGTCTTAAGTCAAAAAAGTAAATTTTTTAGGAACGAATTTTTTTTCTATGTTATAAGAATATAATTAAGTGTTACTTTGGAATGTAATCATGTCATGTAATTTGCAGTTCAAATTCTTGTTTCAAGACAATTGAAAGTAAGATTTGAACACAAAATTATGGCTTTTAAGAAGTTAAACATTTGGGTTTTTTTTTAATATTATTATTCATTTATAAGTTTATTGATAATCAGAGCATGTCTTTAAGAAGTCAGCAAAGGTTTAATAACTATCTAAGTACATAATTAAAAACTAATTTTTATTCATCAAAATCAATTATTCACATTTTTGTCAAAATTTGAAAATTCTTTCAAATAAAAGACTCTAGTTCATTGTACACTACAATTTTATTATCGTTGGCACCATTTTGCACATTGATAAGTGCAGTATTATAAAAGTTTTTTGAACTTTCAGATAATGAAATAAATTTGAGAAGGTTTTTCCACATCTTTTTTTCTTCTTTTCGTTTACATAATTCACTAATGGCGTAGACTTCACTGTACTGTACACTCCCAGCAAATTGCATTCTTTTTTATAACTTTAAAAGTACTAGAATCACCACAGTAGGTATTTTTAGCTTCAATGTCTTTATTACTTTTATTTAAAAATGAAAAAGCTCGTTGGTCACGCATCAAAAAATGGAGCTTCTTCAATAAAACTCGTTCTGCACAACTAAAACTCGTCTTTTCCTAAAACTTTAACTGTAGCTGAAGATGCAAACACTTTTTAGTACTTCTCTGGTTCAACTCTTGTTTCTTTTCTTCTAAATATTTTTTCAAAGAGTTTAAATACTCTATCAGACGGCATATAGCTATGTCCCCTGATTGGAAAGCAATGCTGAATATCACTAAACGCTCTGGAAGTCTGCACAATAACTAAGTAGAAAACCCAAAACATGTTGATTTTTATTTTGTCCACTACAAGCAACAGAAAATAGTTAAAGTGTCAATGATTTCGCTGGTACATTTTTAAACTTGTCTTCCAAAATCTCCCAAAAATTTCTGAAACTACTTTATTGGAGCCTCGCACACTCTGGTTTTCAGTCCATGTGTACACAAAAGTATTAGTAGAACCTTGTGTATCTTCCATCAATACAAAAGTAAGGTTATAAAGCCAAATGTGTCGAGAATAAAATACCTCACCAACTCATAGTTTTGGAAAAAGCTAGTTTTGTTCCTGTCAAGAGATACCTTAACTACATTAGCTTCTGTTCTTTTAAGCAGTTCATAAAATTTCTTAGCTCGTAATTGTGCAATCTGTACTTAGTAATAAGGGAAGCTTTTTCTTGAAGGTCTTTGCGTAAATTTATTTCACTTTTTGTTAGATCACAAAATGAATAAACGTCTGTTTTTGGACTGCCAAAACTTAGATTTAATTTCGTCTGGAAGATCTTGAAGAACTTTGAGTAAGATCCAAGTGACTTCTTCTGTTCTTTTTGAGCCTGTTTTCAAATACGCCACAATTGTTACGCTCTTATTTCGACCATAATGACTTTCACAGTACTTTAATGAGTTTATGAAATCAATCATTGATTGAGCCTTACTTGAATCTTTAGGTTTTGTCTTAGCTCTACCTGGCTTTTCACGAGGACATTCTTCTGACTCTTTTAAAGCTTTAGCTAATCGATTCAATCTTTTTGATGAAAATTGTGTGATGGACAGGAATGTGGAATTGCACACACTTAATAAAACACCATTTGTCTGTCGTATGAAGTATTTCGTAACTGTTCTAGATCGTGGATTTGTTTTCTTTCTAGGCCTATGTTGTCTAGACTCTTGATTGAGACGGTATTTGAATACGAAGTTGTTCTGATCAACAGCAGTCTTATGTGAGTATATTTTATTATAAAAGCTACTTACATCATTAGGGGTCAATAGATATGCTTTACAAACATCACCTTTATGAGCACAAACAATGCGAGGATCTGAATGAGCTTCTTTACTATTTCTTGCGAATTTCTTTAGATTTTTGTACCACAGGTCTTCATTTTCGCTTCCTCTTCTTAGCACTATTCATGTCGTTTACAGATACTGAAAAATCACTTGTTGTAGAATCTAAACTCATTTTATAGTTATAACATACGTTTTCGATTACTCACTTGTTTCACCTCAAACAGTCAATATAACCAAAAACTCACAGCAAATAGATGCTGACAGCTGGAATTGCGCATGATGAAATGGACTAAAGCATTTTTGGAAAACATTACCGATTTGTAATCTATATAGTATATTTGACTTAAGCTGTTATGGCATGAATTGTTTTTCTAATGTTAGAAATGATGCTAGAGAATCAGATCCAACACTAAAACTTCAAAATGTGAAAAAAAAATTACTTAAGTCCTTTTGGAATCCACCTCTTTAATTGTAACTTCACTTTGCTGTTTTCCATAATAATTTTCGGCGTTTTTTCAATGTTTTTGGGAATAAGGTAAATAAGGAAAATGGTAAATTCAGCAAAGCATCATTTACTGGTTATAATCGATGTAGCAGAGTCCCGGTAATAGTTTTTGAGCCATTGCTCAGTTTGGACGGTATTTTTCCGATGAAATAACAGTGATCAATTAACACACAAAATTGCTTTGAATCCATTGTTTATAAAAATCAAAAATATTGTTAATTCAAGCACTAATAATATCCGAATAATATAATAATAATCCGAATGACATGACATTTTGACAGTATGCTTTTGAAGGTTGGTACTACCGAAATGTCATGTGGATAATTCATTACAGTCGCCATCTCATGGGTAGGCCGGGGACTTTTGACCGGTGCGACGTATTTAATATTTGATAGTTATATAAGTAAACGTTTATTTATTTTCAGGTAAAACCAACAGACGTGTTTTGTCAGAAGGAAAAGCAGTATCTAGTTGAAAAAGCTGATCTGTGCAAACCATCTTCAGCTCTCATTCTGTCGATAGTATTCCCGGTTGTAGCCTTCCTGATTTTAACAATAGTAACACTAGTATTATACATTTATTACAGGCAGGAAGTAAAGATTTATTTATATGCCAAGAACATCTGTTTATGGTTTGTTACTGAAGAGGAGCTTGACGAAGATAAAGAATATGATGTCTTTTTAAGTTATGCACATCAAGATGAAGAATTTGTCCTTCACAATTTACTTCCAGTTCTACAGCCACTCAGAACTTGCATTCACATTAGAGATTGGAAACCTGGCGAGATGATAATGACAAATGTTGAGTATTCCGTTATGAATTCTAGAAGAACCCTTGGTTGTTCTCTCGAATAACTTCTTAGACAGCGTTTGGGGCATACAAGAATTTAAAACTGCACATACTCAAGCTATTAAGGAAGGACGTGCTAGAGTGATCGTTGTGAAATATGGCGAACTTGATCAAAGCAGGTTGGATGGAGATATAAAGGCATATCTAAATACCAACACACTACGTAGAATGGGGAAAACCGTGGTTCTGGAATAAGCTTAATTATGCTTTACCTCACCGTCAAGAAAAAGGATTCTGCAGGTCAAATAAAAAACACGCTAGTATCATGTTAAAGATTGATGAAAAATTTGTTCTTACTAATCCTCCGGTGAACCACGCTGAAAGCACTCCCCCCGTTATAAACTTTGGACCCGGCTGTACTTAAAAATCATCCTTTAAACTTTCAAAAGAGTGACTTACACATTTCTTCCTCTGAAACTCCACTAGTTGTTAGTGTGTGATTGATTTTTGTCTCGTTTTGTGCCAATCGAATAAATAGGATAGATATAGACTATGACTCAATGTAAAGAGTCCAGACAGATGGTTTGAATGTGATGAAAAGTGCTCATTTACCTCTCATTGTAAAAAAATGTCGATCATGATAAATGTACAAATTTATTGCATAAATACTTATAAGCTGACTGTATCGTAATTAAGTAAATTGTGTTTTATTTGCACCAATTTTATATTCTTGTTTGTTAATAAAAACGATCCATCCATAATTTGCTCTAACTTTGATAATTTTTTTAAGAACATTGAGATTTTTTATTTCTGAAATTACTGACACTCAAGAAATCAAAGATCTTTGCTTAAATATTTCTTGTTATACTCTGCAGGTAAAACCAACAGTTCTAGTAGTAGTTCTATTTTGCAACGGCAATTTTATTTCGCAAGTCGTTGGCAATGCGCGAGTATCACCATGTCCATAACATATAGCAATATAAGGTCGACGGTGCTTCTCAACTATTTTACGTTAACAATTGCAAAATACTAATATGTTTTGTACACACTTATGAACAAATGAATGTATTAAAAAGAAAAGTAATTTAAAAGTATGTTCAGCATTTAATTCGTAGCTAAACGCTTTCGGCTTATAAAGCTATCTTCAGAACTTTGCTACAATATAATAATTTATATCGTAAATTTAAAAAAAATACCACTGTAAGTGAGGTGGTATACTATAGTTCAATAAGAGAAATAATTTCTTCATCGAAATTTAACACGTTGCTTACCGTCTCGGTCTACGTGACCGAGAAACAATTGTTATGCACGCCAAGGAGTCTATTTGACCGAGAATTTTAACGTGGCTCTGGTGCCGCCTTACGGTTTATTGCATTCACATACCAGTGTCTCAGTTTAGAGTACGTTTTATAAATATGAAACTGACCAAGCTGGCATAGAAGAAGTGTTGTGACATCCCATTTTTTTTTTACTCAAACTTTTTATCGATGAGAAAAATAAAAACGCAAAATCAATGACATGGCTCTCCTTCACATCATTTACAGTAAGTTAGAATCTTCTTTAAAATTTCCTGGCAATACGCTACCCGTGAGTTTTCTTTGCAGTTTCCATGGCAACTCTTTCAGGTTTTTCGGTATCTCACATCTTTTGTGACGCCCACGCTTTTTTGTCTTTGTGTATCTTCCTCGGCATCTAATTGTTGTTGACGTGCGTTGCATAATGCATTAGCAATCGATTTACGGAAGTGAAGAATACAATATCGCTATTTTTACTTCTTTGTACATGAGCCAACCATTGACTACAGCAGTTCCCAAGATTATTTCAAATATTAACTTTTTGTACCACTTTATATTCTTTCTTAGCAGTGACTGATATGCTGTCATTTGATTGGATTGATCAACACTATTTTGATTTCCCCTCGTTGGGTTCCTACTTTTGGGATTCCCTCTTCGGTTTTTTCTTAATGTACCAGATGTAGTATCAGATGCGTTTATCTATTTATAAGTTGTTCTGCTAGTGGTAAACTAGTGTACCAATTATCGATAATCATAGTCCTACATCAATCAAATATAGGTTCGCCCAGTTTTCATTACTACCCCTGTTGGTGTTGTTTTTTTGGTAGTTCAAATTTTTACCTGCATAAATTTGTAAATTGTAAGTATAGCCCCCATTGCAACATAACTTGAATATCTTTATGCCATATTTATGTCTTTTACCTTTACGGAACGGTATCAGTGATTCGCCAATGCAGACGATGTCGTCAGGTTCTACAGCTGTTTGAAAATTGTGAAATATTTTATCTATCAAATCTTGCACTTGATGAAGTCTGTCATTGTTGGCATTATCCCCATTATTCGCAAAATGAATCACATACAAGAGCATTTCAAATCTATTCTGACTTATAGGTGTGGAAGCGATTTTAGATATTTTAAAAAGCAACTGCTTTTATTTCCATGTGTTTCATCTCATACAAAACAGGGCCCATCAGAATTGGATGTATCATAAATGGTGAAATTATAAACATCACACAATTGATAAATCAATTTGATTGTCACCTAATTTCCTATTATATTATTATATAGCCAAGATTTCGGATTGGAGCCCAATAGGAAGGAGGAAAGGAGGTAGACCCCGAAGATCATGGAGAGATGAAGTGGACGAGGCCATGGAAAGACGAGACCTTAGAGGTGGAGAATGCCAGAACAGAAAGGACTGGAGACATTGGCTGAAAGAAGGAAGAACGGCTACCAGCTTTAAAAATCCTTATATAGATAGAGGATTATTATAATAATATTCCTCACATCCATTGAGTGGGGAATAGTCCAAAATTACTTGCATATCAAAAAATATTGACCTAAAAGTTTTGCTTTCATCTGCGAGTGATCTTTGTTTATCATCCATTTTCATCTGCATATTGTGCCAATATATTCTATTTCGCTTTTTGTTTTTTTATTTTTGTTCTCTTTTCCAATATTCATTGCTATACAAAAAAGGATTGTAAGAACTTGACGACTCCAGATAGGGTTCACTAAATTGTTCAGACTCTGAAACCTCTTCAACAATAGAGGTTCCTGAAATTACAGTAACTAGATTACACTACTTTTTTTGTTCGGGTGTTTCTAAAAAGATATTGCTAAAATATGGTTTACATTAAATTAATTGCTAATCTTACCTTCAACAGAAAAAAAGGAGCTGTCTATTTTCTTCCGATAGGTATAAAATGCTTAATAAACCTTTCAAACTTACTCGCTCTCAAGTTAAAATCGCCTGGGGTCAAAAAGTCAGAAGCTATTTCTAAAATAAAAGAAAACTTATTAATATTGAAGTAACACTAACCTTACTTTTTACTGGACACAAATATGGTAATTATATTAATGCTATTTAATTCAGCGCACATATGTATTAAGTGCCCTTACAACATGTGGAGTAGAAATCTGTAGTGTAGAAGTACTTGACTATGTTCAACAATTTTTATTGATCAAATAAATTTATTTTTTGTAAAATATCATTTTATGATTATTAAGCCTTCAAAGAACAAAAATTCTTCATCGTTTTTATTATTGCATTATATCAAATTTAGGACAAATTTTGGATGTATCGTTTTGCTGGTGATTAGGTAAATATTGCTAGTAAGTATCTAACAAGAAGAGTCGTTGTAATAAGTGAGTTTTCAGCAAGTGCAAATGTGAAACAAAGACAAAACAAAGTTTGTCTAAAATATATTTTATTAAGAAATGTTTTAAATCAAGTTTTATTAAATAAACAACTGAAAGTAATTTAAAATAATATTTTAGTATGATATTGATTGTCTCGTCTCTTTGCTCATAATGTTTAGCATTTGGAATACAAAATTTCTAGTCAAAAGTATTGATCAAAAGTCCTTTGTTATTGTTTGGCGTTCTGCTAATTCTAAACAAACTACATTGTCTGTTGTATTTACACGGCTGTTCATTTACTAACTTTTATGAAATATTTCAGAATATTTGTTGAACACTCTTTTTACTATCTACATATATATGTTTATTTTAACCAATCAATTCATGTTTTTTCCTTGTTTAGACTTCTGCCTCTTCAAGGAAATGATGCTCCTTTTTTGTGGAGCCAGGGGGTGTGGTAAACGTAAGGGTGATATGCGTGTGGTGTTATAGTGGTGAAGTGCTAGAGAGCTGGGGTTCAGAAGGTGGCCTATTGTGATAAGGAGCGCACAAGAGGAATTGTTGGTAAGCAAAACAAGCCAAGGGGAGGTACTTCAAGGTGTTACCAACCATCTAGGAACAGCTGTTAATTAACGTTTTTGGCTTGCCATGTTAGCTGCGATATTTTATGGTGATTGATTCTAGCATATTAAAATATTCATCAGGAAGTTCGTTTCCACTGTTTTCAGTGTTATGAAGAAGTTTTGCTGGAGAAGAATGGAACTTTTCTTTTAGTAACCCTGATGAGTATTTGCTCTCGGCAATGGCAAGGAGTTTTAAGTATTTGTTTTTTGACTCAATTGTTTGAGCCTGCAATTCTGCAACGGACATACCTCCTGCTAAGCGTCAATACTGACCCTAATTGATTTTATATTTGCTACTTGGTGTATGAGTTCTGAAGAAATCTTTGGCTCATAAAGAGCTGTAACGCCACTGATGATGATGATGATGACTTGGTGTATGAGTGCTGACGGGTAGTCTGTGCGCTTTCTCGTGCAGAATCTTAGTATTTTTTTTCTGTGACCATGATGGTGTTCATTTGGCGGGTGTTGCATAGTGATGCATAGACGCATGCCTTGTATTCGATTATCGGTCTTATGTAGGTTTTATAAGTGTGCAATAGAGTTTTGTTTGACGTATTGCCCATTTTACCGGACAGCGCTGCCAAGAGTTTAGTTCTTTTTCTTACCCTGTCTAGGATGGTTTGTATGTCGGTTTTCCAGTTGAGAGTCCTACTAAAATGTACTCACATATAGGAAACCGAGTTTGTGAGATTAAGGTCTTTTCCTAGCAGGGTTATCCGGCCCTGAACATCACGGCAGTGGGAAGATTTAAATAATATTAATTGGGTGATTTAAATAATATTAATTAGGTTTTGGAGGCGTTAATAGTCAGTCTCCATCTATTTCACCACCTAATAACTCTGTTTAGGTAGTTTTGAGCTCTTTCGAATACAGACATTTGTCCACGCATTCTATGTGGATCTGACCTGAGGAGCACAGTGTCGTCAGCATACAGTAGTAGGGATTTCTATCTATATTCAGGGCTGGGGATGTACTGTTTAGACTGGTATAGTTTGGAGCAAGAATTGAACCCTGGGATACTCAAGCTTGTGGAGTGAATGGTGAGGATAATGTATTGTCAACTTTGATCCAGATAGTCCGATTGGAGAGATAGGAATTTATTAATTTCAAGAAAGTTGTGGGCAGTCTAGCAAGATAGAGTTTTGCTCTTTCGTTATTTGATTTTAACCAAATAAAAGCGATACATATATTTGAAGAATTTTTTACTTTGGAAAAAATTATCTTCCTTTCGAAAATTTGTTCTTCTTGAGCTAAAATGATCTTTCAAACAACTCTTATGCTGTATATATGTACTATCCTATTATATGCATCTGTAATATACTTTAAATAAAAAGACCCACGACACACTCCTATCGCCTGCTGTGTATTCAGTGGTCTTCTTAAAAGTTTATATGGCCT